AACCAGGCGTCATGGTCAGGAACCTTCTGCACCCCTACCTCAATGAAGAAACAGAAACAAGAGGAACAGGAGGTGTCAACATTGTACATCTGGTCAACGCGATCAACAGGCGGGACTAAGGGGGGGCAGGACACTTCGCCGCACGGAGTAAAAAAAATAATCGAAAAAATACAAAAATTGAGTTATTGTTGCCAAAAAATAGCTGAACTTTCTGGCTACACTCTGGTATAATTATCATCCTTATACGATGTTTCTAAAAGGAATTAGTCATTTATAACATGCATGGTGACAACGCCTTGCGTAACACGCTCTGACGCGACATGATTGCACAGGCTGGGCAGAGTGGATGGGAAGCCATACTAGACGTCATAAACAAGGCATGGAGGGCCGGGACACTCCCAGCAGCTTGGAAGGCTACCATTGTACCAATTCCAAAGCCCAAGGACCCAGGCAGTATGAGACCCATATCGCAGACCAGCTGTTTAGCCAAGACTACTGAGAGGATGGTGTTAAGCCACCTCCTATGGAAACTTGGACCCCCTCATCATCACATATTTGGCTTCACCAAAGGAGTGGGTACAGCAGAGTGCATAACCACCCTAGATTTAGATTTTGCCACCGAAGTGGCTAGTTTATTGTGCACCCCATATCCATCCTGTGGACGGTAGCGCGAGAGCATATGGATACACAAAAGGCCTAGGAACTAGGCCCCAAAGGGTTAACAGGAATACATATGGATTTATATCTACATATCTATAGTTCACTTATCTGTTACAAGCAAATTTAGGAAATTTGCTTAGTATATCTGGTATCTTATTTTCATTAACCACCCTACTAAGCCAGATTGCTGATTGTAACAAAAAACCTAGTATCGTCATCTACCTCGACCTGGAGAAGGCATTTGAGCTAGCCAGTCCCACAGCAATCCTAGCAATACTAGCTCAGAAGGGGATCAAAGGACACCTCCTGGCCTGGATAGAGTCCTACCTTAGGGACAGGCAGGCCTGTGTCAGCTTTCAGGGACACTACTCTTCCTTTAAAACTCTGGAAAATGGCATGCCACAAGGAGGTGTGCTCAGTCCTACCCTGTTTAATGTCCTTATGCAGAAACTTGTGAGCCATCCCTTTCATAGTGGTACACAGCTACTCAGCTATGCTGATGATCTTGCACTCATAGTGAATGGGAAAGGCAATTTGGAGCGACAGGCTCAGAGAGCTTTGGACCTAATTACGCAGTCTTGCAAGGAACTAGGCCTCAAGATCTCAGCCGAGAAATCTCTTGCAATGATGTTCAAGGGACCAGATCCTGTGAATAGATTACGTATTCAGGATATAGTACTTGAGTGGACAGGCTCCTACCTATACTTGGGAATCTACATTGATAAAAAGCTGACCTTCAGAAACAGGCCGAGTATGTCAGGTCACGTGCTCTACTCAGACTCAACGCCATGAGAGCCATGACGTGGCACCGTGCAGGGGCAAGCAAAGATGTACTCGCTTGTACTGTATACAAGCTATATGCTCGTTCATTGACTTATGGTGCACCAGCGTTAGCTCATCTCTTCCCGCAGAGCAGGCAAAGGGTGGAGGTCGTACAAAACCAGGCGATAAGAACTATGCTTGGGGCCCCCCTCTGGGCCAACACAGCATGTCTCGGATCTGAGGCCCGGCTTCCTTCCCTGGCTGACAGAGTAAGATACATAAACGCCTGCAAAGTAGCCATGATTCTGCATCAGCAGCAAGGTACCCCACTAAGAAGACGGATATTGACAACCATGACACAAGATCCAACTCTCTTCACGGACTACTACTGGATCAGTTTGTTTTGTGCTGCTGGGCGGAAGCTGCTGCCTATACAACTACTCCTTGAGAAGAGTTGTGACATTCCTGTTGCTAGATATCATCCACCACCTCCTTGGTGCCCAGATCCAGCCGATATTTGCGTCATGCAACTGCCTATCTCTAAGCGTCTCTGCTGTAAAGACACCCTCAGCAATCATGCTGAAACAAGCATGGCACTGGCAGAGGGACGCACATGTGCAGTGTATTTCACAGATGGTTCTGTTGACCCTGACAGGAAGAGAGCAGCAGCTGGACTATACCACAATGGTCACACACAAGGGTGGCGACTCCCTGACCACTGCACGCTCCTTCAAGCTGAGCTGGTGGCGATTCATCAGGTATTGTTACATGTCCTACAACATCGACTCCAACCTGTCATACACGTTGACTCCACCTCTGCAATCAATGCCTTCCATCCTCAACTACAGGACAATGTTTTCCCCCTCAAGGAAGGTTCCTTGATGTTGGTGAGGGGCTCTTGATTTAGGGAATTGGATCTGTGCTCCAGTTCCCCAAATTAAGCCTGAATGCCTTCCACTCCCCCCCCCCCCCCGGCGCTGTATAATCCTCCGGGTTTAGCGCTTCCCCTTGATTATAATAATAATAATACAGGACAATGTTCACCTCATCACATCAATCCTGAGCACAATGACAGCCTTAGAGGTTCAAGGTAACAGATCGACATTGAACTGGATCCCCAGCCATGCTGACATCTGGGAAAACAGAGGCGGTAGATGATGCAGCCAAGGCAGCCACAGAGTATCCACATGTTGGGATTACTGTCCCCACCAGCCTACAACAGACCAAACTGACGGCTACCAGAGCAATGAAACTTATGGAAGAGGTCTTAGGTGATACCCCATCTCAACAGTGGTACCGAGCAGCGACTCAGGGAGAACCGCCCTCCATATGATAGGTGGTGGTCCAGAGCGCAGTGTACCGCCATCCATCGGCTTCATTTGGGCTTTCCCACAGCCAAGATGATGGTAGATAATCCTGAGGAGGAGATGTGCCAGTACTGCCAGCACGTTGTCCAGCGCCCCCTAACACACTATCTTCTGGAGTGCGAAGTTACTGAGACACTGCACAGGCAACTAGCACTGATATCCCCTCCCGAAGAGGACCCAGAGACGACTGCGGCCACACTAGTGTACCATGGAGTCAACGAACCAGACAAGCTGTTGCCCATGATAACGACATCTCCTCCTCCTCCTCCTCGCTAGTGTCCATAGTTAGGAGTGCATACGGTGTTGTCGATTATGAGATGCACCACATGAACTGACCAGAAGAGTGCTTGAGCAGCATATGTCGCATCATTGTAGAAACCTTTCTCCCTCAGGAGCCAGAGATGGGTCATCGCAAGATTGAGACCTGTGCCAGGACTACGGTCTTGGTGAACATTATACATACATACCTAGATACAGGAGAATAGGTCTGTGGCCAGTGTGCACCATATAAAAAAAAAAAAAGTCCTACCCCATGCAGTGCATGATGGGGAAAAAACTGACCAGGTTTTTGGTTTAAAATAGTGAATTTGCAGTGTATTTTCAGGTGGTTTTAATGATTTTATTCTTGTTTGCTGAAATAGAGATGATTTTGATTGGTTTCAGGAATGGAAGTAGCTTGAAATTGAGCTCAGAGTACCGGAAATATTCGATTTTTTCCAATATTCCAGAGTAAACAAATCATGTCACTTGTCCATGTCCAACTAGTCAGTATAGTATGCATTTACAAATGCATTGACATTACTATTTATACAATTATTACAGTGATGCATAACAGTAAATCTTCTATTTTATTTTTTTTGTAAATAAAATTGATGGAAATCATGTGTAATATGAGAGGCCTGAGAACATATCTAATGAACAGAGAAAATTTTGTTTTAGTGCCAGGAATGTCTACATTGTTTATATTGGACCCTCTTTTGAAATTTGTGTGAAATTGGCCAAATTACCAATTTCTGATCACTATTGGGTAGTTGAAATAGTTCATTGGGTGATATCTTGTGTTCAGTCGATAAGAATTTGGTCTACTAGAACTATGTAATTGGGCTAAAATAAGACACCGTGGGCAAAATCGCCAATGAGTAAATATCGCTGACACGGTGAAATTTGCGAATGTGTAATTTCATCAGTTTTCCATCAAATTTCATACGTTGTGGTTTATTACCTTCAGAAAAAATTCTCTAACATTTCATAAGAAATAATTTTTTTTTTTTTTTAAATTCTTGTACCCTGTGGACACTTCAGATTGGGGGTGTGGACCCTCAAGGGGTTAATATATTTGGTGGTGATATACACCTACCATCGACTTACGACCGTATTTTTTATGCCAAACTTCTGGGAAATAAACAACTATTTGTGTTGTACACAGTGTTTATCCTAAACCTTACAGTATAAAATACAGTACTAACAGCATAAAAAGTAAAGTAAAACATGAAATACCAAAATAAAACAATAAAATAAAGTCATTACAAAAATGTTTTGTTAATATTCAGTAGTAAAGTTCGACTTACGACCATTTCGACTTAACGACCGGTTTCTCGGAACCGAACTTGGTCGTAAGTCGGATGGTAGGTGTACTTGTTATTGAGGTGGTTTGGACAAGTAGAGGATGGAACAAAATAGAATGACTTTGATAGTGTGTGAATCTGCAGTGGAGGGAAGGCGGGGTAGGGGTTGGCCTAGGAAAGGTTGGAGGGAGGGGGTAATGGAGGTTTTTGTGTGCGAAGGCTTGGACTTCCAGCAAGCGTGTGAGCATGTTAGATAGAAAATGGAGACAAATGGTTTTTAGGACTTGATGTGCTGTTGGAGTGTAAGCAAGGTAACGTTTATGAAGGGATTCAGGGAAACTGGCAGGCCGGACTTGATTCCTGGAGATGGGAAGTACAGTGCCGGCACTCTGAAGGAGGTGTGTTAATGTTGCAATTTTATAACTTTAGTGTAAGCATGCCTCTGGCAAGACAGTGATGAAGTGAATGATGAAAGTTTTTCTTTTTCGGGCCACACAGCCTTGGTGGGAAACGGCTGTGTTAGTAAAAAAAAAAAATAATACTTGTAAACAATTATGAAACCTAAATATTGCATTGCAATTACTGCATTAATATATTTTTTCCAAGTGTGTTTAAAATAGTTTAATAAGGAATATGAAACTTAGAGTAAGAATGATCAGTACTTTTAATAATTAGAATATAACAATTATTTTGTCTTTATTAACTATCAGTATAAAATTTATCTCATTTACCCTCCAAGCATGATACACACAATCAGTTACTCTAAGCAGTGTCATTTTTTTCAATCATCTCTTCTTGAAGCCATATTTCTTCCTTTCATAGAACAAATCGGTCTTCGATGATCCCAAGTTGACAATCTTTGGGCAACCATCACGATCTTTCTCCAGAACTGTGCACTCTTTACAGTAGTAAGCATCAGACACACCTTAAAGAAAAATTACCCAATTAATACACAGATTACTATAAAAAAATATAAATGCAGCATCTTCCAGCAATAAAATACATGTATGTATTTCTTAACATATTATCACAAAGTGAATATAATGGATATACCCTTATCAGAATTATAATTTAGTGATTCATTTATGGATTATTAGACTATTATTCATGGAACATGCTAAACACATCTTAAGAGTATATGATGGTGGTCAGAGTACTTTATAATATACTGCAGATACAGGCAAAATAAGTGTTGAGAAATTAAATAGTATAATATTCCTTTTCAAAAATCTTTATTTGTAGCATACTCCTATCCAAAATTTAATTTCTTGTAAAGAATTTTAAGTTAGTGTAATTATTTAGCTAAAGATTTATCTATTCCCTGCTATAATTGCATCTAGCTGATAACTCCTGTGATGATTTTTAAAACTGAGTATTCCAGTCCAAGATCCAACCCAAATCTAACAAATGAAACTGGATAAATAACCACCGCATTTTACTAAAAATATTATCAATATTCATAAGTAATTTTATTTTATTCTAATTGTTGAATTGCAATTAAATTTCAAAAGTAATCACATTCACAGATCACATTGCACATACGTGTGTGTCACAGCACAGTTCAAATCTGTGCTGACACACATTCATATATACTGCTTATCTGTCTCATGCTTAACTGGCAGAGGCTTGATCCTATGACAGTTAATCATGAGACAGATAAGCAGTATCACCTAATTGTACAAGCTCCTTTCTTATAAAGTATAACGCTAGAGTTTATGTGTATTAATTGGCATATCTAGTGAAATCGCTGACAGGTTACGGTCAGCGAATTACTGAAATATTGCCATGAGCTTCACAACAAAATTTAGGCATAGGTTAGAGTTTACTAACAGTTTTATATACGAGAAGGTACAGACTTTTCCAGAATGATCTGACTAATATTGGTAATATCACTGGTATTCCAAACTGGATAGTGTTGAACAGTAGTGGTTGCTAGAAAGATGTGTACTGTGATGCCTTTAGCTTACTTATACATATCAATCAGTAATAGTAATAATAATAATAATAATAATAATAATGAAAATAGTAACAGCACTAAGCCCCAGAGTTTACATTCATTTATCTGTAAGGTAGAGAGTACACATCCTAGGACCACTAGGAGGGTACACAGAGCAATTATATGAAGGAAGTAGAGTAAGAGTATCACAAACGATATTTGGAGTATAGTGTGAGCACGTACCTGGTCCTCCACAGATGACACAGCGACCCTGGTAGGAGCCATAGTTGCACTCGTCACATATTCTCACCAGTGTGCACGGTCTCACGTAAGAGTCACAGATCACACATTTACCGTCACATTTCTCACACAGACGCCCAATAGCCACTCCAGGCTGCTTCCTGCAGAAGATGAGATCAGGATGATGTTTTGCCATGGATCCTCAACGCCTGTATAACCTAACTCGAGGTGAATCAATAAGAGTGGTGATGAGTGAGCGTCGCGGCTGAGGGTTTGTTGTGGTGTGAGCAGCGTCTGGCATCAGCGCCGCCGCTCCTGCACGCACATCCACCACCACCCACCCCGCGCACACCACCCGCCATATTTAAACCCATCATCGACCTCCAATAAGCTTTCTGGTCACATTTAAATTTATTCGATTATTTTATATATACTGTTGTTATTTTGAACGATGTATTTAACGTCAGAGCCCCCACTACACACGCACATCCACCACCCAGCTCACGCATTCCACCCGCTATAACTGAACTCAAAACCGATTTCCTGTAACCTTCCTTATTGCATATATATTCATTCGATTATCTTAAATATATATTATTCTTACTTTGAAGAATGCATTTGACGTCAGAGCCCCTCACTGCGCACGCACGCACAGCGCGCAGCGCACCACACACACACACACACACACACACACACACACACACACACACACACACACACACACACACACACACACACACACACACACACACACCAAAACACACACGGTTAGACTCAAAGTGTCCTGTTGCAGAAGATGTGAAGTTAATAGAGAATTAATCTGATGAGACCAGCAGGACTTCAAAGAGATGGACAGTGGACACCTGGTCCGCAAATGCTTCTCGAATTTAATGCTGCAAATGCAAAGTCATGAAAGATAGGGAAGGGCACAGTAAGACCACAGACAAGTATAGCTAGTGCCAAAGACTGCAAACTCACTCTAGGAGAAAGATCTTGGGGTGAGTATAACACGAGCCCGCTCCCGAAGCCACATCAGTCAGATAACTGCGCAGCATATGGGCCCTGGCAAACTGAGACGACATATCCGATACCTTAGTAGGAATCATCAAGACACTGTACACCGTTTTGTCAGGCCCATACTGGAGTATGCGCAACTTTTGGAAACCCGCAACTTGATAAAGCACGTCCAAGAAACTAGAGAAAAGTACAAAGGTTTGCGACAAGTTAGTTCCCAGAGCTAAGGGAATGTCCTATGAAGAAAGATTAAGGGAAATCGCCTAACGCACTGGAGGACAGGAGGTAGGGGAGACAATGATAACGACATATAAAATACTGCGTGGAATAGACAAGGTGGACAAAGACAGGATGTTCCAGGGAGGGGACACAGAAACAAGAGGCCACAATTGGAAGTTGAAGACACAAATGAGTCGGAGAGATATTAGGAAGTATTTCTTCAGTCATAGAGTTGTAAGGCAGTGGAATAGCCTATAAAATGACGTAGTGGAGGCAGGAACCATACACAGTTTTAAGACGAGGTTTGATAAAGCTCATGGAGCGGGGAGAGAGAGGGCCCAGTAGCAACTGGTGAAGAGGCGGGGCCAGGAGCTAAGACTCGACCCCTGCAACCACAAATAGGTGAGTACACACACACACACACACACACACACACACATATGGAGCGGGGAGAGAGAGAGGACCCAGTAGCAACCGGTGAAGAGGCGGGGCCAGGAGCTAAGACTCGACCCCTGCAACCACAAATAGGTGAGTACACACACACAGAAGGTTTTGAGAAGAAATCACTCGATCGAAGACCAGGCAGAACTACAAATGGATCTGGACAGGCTGCAGACCTGGTCCAGCAATTGGCTCCTGGAGTTCAATCCCACCAAGTGCAAAGTCATGAAGATTGGGGAAGGGCAAAGAAGACCGCAGACGGAGTACAATCTAGGGAGCCAGAGACTGCAAACCTCACTCAAGGAAAAAGATCTTGGGGTGAGTATAACACCAGGCACATCTGAAGCGCACATCAACCAAATAATGGCTGCAGCATATGGGCGCCTAGCAAATCTCAGAACAGCATTCCGACACCTTAATAAGGAATCGTTCAGGACCCTGTACACCGTGTACGTTAAGCCCATATTGGAGTATGCGGCACCAGTTTGGAACCCACACCTAGCCAAGCACGTAAAGAAACTGTGTGTGTGATGAATGGTTTGAAAAACCGACAAGTTGAAGATTGAGACACTTATGCAGCATATGGGAATCTTTATTCAGGAAACGTTTCGCCACACAGTGGCTTCATCAGTCCAATACAAAGAGGAAGGCGTAAGGAGAGGAGGAGTATGAGGTAATCAGTCCCTCAGCCTGGAGTCGATGTGTTCAGTCCATCAGTCTTGTAGAATGTACAGCATAGGGCCGTAGACGTGGCTTATATACTGTAGTGAGGTGAGGTGAAGCAGGCAGAGGCGGGTCATAGTGGTAACATCCACTATCGAAGTAGGTCTTCGTCCAAAGGTTGAACAAGTGTTGAAGAATTTTTTGGGTAACAAGATCCCATGATCCCCATGTCTGCATGCCTTCCTCTTTGTATTGGACTGATGAACCACTGTGTGGCGAAACGTTTCCTGAAAAAAGATTCCCATATGCTACATAATTTCTCAATCTTCAACTTGTCGGTTTTTCAAACCATTCATCACAACTGTCAGACACTGCAGCACCCATGGGATCTTTTTTACAAAGAATTCTTCAACACTTGTTCAACCTTTGGACGAAGACCTACTTCGACTAGTGGATGTTACCACTATGACCCCGCCTCCGCCTGCTTCACCTCACCTCACTACAGTATATAAGCCACGTCTACGGCCCTATGCTGTACATTCTACAAGATTGATGGACTGAACACATCGTCTCCAGGCTGAGGGACTGATTACCTCATACTCCTCCTCTCCTTACGCCTTCCTCTTTGTATTGGACTGATGAAGCCACTGTATGGCGAAACGTTTCCTGAATAAAGATTCCCATATGCTGCATAAGTGTCTCAATCTTCACGTAAAGAAACTAGAGAAAGTGCAAAGGTTTGCAGCAAGACTAGTCCCAGAGCTAAAAGGTATGTCCTACGAGGAGAGGTTAAGGGAAATCAACCTGACGACACTGGAGGACAGGAGAGATAGGGGGGACATGATAACGACGTACAAAATACTGACAGGAATTGACAAGGTGGACAAAGACAGGATGTTCCAGAGATGGGACACAGCAACAAGGGGCACAGTTGGAAGCTGAAGACACAGATGAATCACAGGGATCTTAGGAAATATTTTTTCAGCTACAAGTATCAGAAGTGGAATATTTGAGAAGCGATGTAGTGAGGCAGGATCCATACATAGTTTTAAAAGCAGAGGTATATAAAGCTCAGGGTTCAGGGAGAGTGACCTAGTAGCGACCATGAAAGGGGGGGCCAGGAGCTTGGACTCGACCCCTGCAACCTCAACTGGGTAGTACAACTGGGCGAGTACATACACAACACACACGTATACACACACGTATACCCCACACACACACACACACACACACATACACACACACACATATACACACACACACAGTAGCAACCGTGAAGAGGCGGGGCCAGGAGCTAAGACTCGACCCCTGCAACCACAAATAGGTGAGTACACATACACACACACATACACATACATACATACATACATACATACATACATACATACATACATACAGTCAAGGACCAGGTAATCAGACTGAGGAAGGGTGATGGGGAGTTCACAAAAAACGACCGAGAGGTATGTCAGGAGCTCAACACGAGATTTAAAGAAGTATTTACACTGGAAACCAGTAGAACTCCAGGAAATCAGAACAGGGGGTTACACCAGCGAGTGCTGGATGAGGTACATATAACCAAGGAGGAGGTGAAGAAGCTTCTATGCGAACTTGACACCTCAAAGGCGGTGGGACCAGACAACATCTCTCCGTGGGTCCTTAAAGAGGGAGCAGAGATACTGTGTGTGCCATTAACAAAGATTTTCAACACATCATTTGAAACTGGGCAACTCCCTGAGGTATGGAAGATGGCAAATGTAGTCCCAATTTTAAAAAGGAGACAGACATGAGCACTAACTACAGCCCTTTATCACTAACGTGTATATATGGCAAAGTCATGGAGAAGATCATCAGGAGAGTGATGGAGCACCGGGAAAGAAACAAGTGTATAATTGACAACCCAGCAGGGTTTCGGGGAAGGAAAATCCTGTGTCACAAACCTACTAAGTTTTATGACAAGTGACAGAATAAGACAAGAGAGAGAGGGGGGGATCGACTGCATTTTTTTTTTGGGCTGCAAAAGCTTTCGACAGAGTTCCTCACAAGAGGGTTTCTGCAAAAAACTAGAGGATCACACACATAACAGGAAAGCACTGCAATGGATCAAGAATAACCTACAGGGAGGGAACAAAGAGTCATGGGACGTGACGAGGTGTCAGAGTGGGCGCCTGTGACAAGCGGGTTCCACAGGGGCAGTCCTAGGACCTGTGCTGTTCTTGGTATAAGTGAACGACATAACGGAAGGGATAGACTCAAAGTTCCTTGTTTGCAGATGATGTGAAGTTTAAAGAGAAGAATCAAGTCGGATGAGGATCAGGCAGGACTACAAAAAGACCTGACAGACTACAGGGCCCGGGCCCCGCAACTGGCTCCTTGATTTAACCCTGCCAAATGCAAAATCATGAAGATTGGGGGAAAGGGCAGAAAAACCGCAGACAGAATAAAAGTTTAGAAAGGCCAAAGACGCAAACCTCACTCAAGGAAAAAGATCTGGGGGGGAGTATAACACCGAGCATATCTCCTGAGGCGCACATCAGTCAGATAACTGCTGCAGCATACGGGGGCCTGGCAAACCTACGATAACGTTCCGATACCTCAGTAAGGATTCGTTCAAGACTCTGTATACCATTTACGTCAGGCCCTACTGGAGTATGCAGCACCAGTTTGGAATCCACACCTAGTCAAGCACGTCAAGAAATTAGAGAAAGTGCCCAAGGTTTGCAACAAGACTAGTCCAAAGCTACGGGGGTTTTCCTACGAAGAAAGGTTGAGGGAAATCGGCCTGACGACACTGGAGACAGGAGGGTCAGGGAGACATGATAACGACATATAAAATACTTTCGCGAATAGACAAGATGGACAAAGACGGGATGTTACAGAGAAGGGACACAGAAACAAGGGTCACAATTGGAAGTTGATAGACTCAGATGAATCAGAGGGATGTTAGGAAGTATTTCTTCAGTCATA